CTTAAGGGAGATAAATTTCCGCGAACAGCAAACCGGATTCGGACCAGCTCGCATCGACTGAATTTTCACTCCGCGTCAGGTCCTCGAATTGCGTCACATACACATCGTCGGCCAGCAATCGCAGTGTTCCTTGACCTAAAAGGAGCCTTTGATTCAGTTGACCGTTATGCTCTTCTTGGGTCGCTGCTCCCCAAAGGAATGCCGAAAACGTATGTAAACCTATTGCGGTCGCTGTACCTGCATACTTCTGGAAGCGTAAAGGTATACGGTGGCCTAAGTGAATTGTTCGAAACCAGGAGCGTTGTCCGTCAAGGGTGCCCTGTTTCGCCATTCCTGTTCAATTTCGTCGTAGATGAAGTACTGGAGAACGTACTTAGTGGTCTCCAAAACGTCGGTATTGAATGGGCAGTTGGAGAAAAGGTGTGCCATTTAAAGTACGCTGACGACATCATTTGCCTGTTTGAATGTATGGAAGATGCGCAAAGCGTTGTTGACAGACTTTCATGCTATGTAACTCCTTTCAGCATGTGCTTTGCACCTTCCAAATGCAAAATGATGCCTTAGTATTGTGTATCGTCTACCCCAGTACTGATACTTGATGGTCAAGAATTAGTTGTTGTTGAGTATTTCACCTACTTAGTTAGCTGCGTTACAAACGACGATAGCGTAGTCAATAAAGTAACCGCTCGCATTTCCAAGGCTCGAGCAGCTTACGCAGGGCTGAAACACCTTTGGTGCAGACGCGATGCATTGTTGAAACTGAAAGGTCGTGTATACTGCGCCAGTGTGCGGTGAGTTCTTCTTTATGGTTGCGAGACCTTAAGTTTGCGTGTCGAAGATATTTGTTGTCTAGAAGTCTTCGACTGCCGATGTTTAAGAAGTTTGGCGTGGCTTTGATGGAGCGAGCGTGTAAGCACCTCTGAGGTAAGGCGTCGCGTATTGGGCAATGATTCGATGGAGAATCCGTTGTCTCATCTAATTCAGATTAGTCGGCTAGGACACGTATTGCGTATGCCCAGTCATCGTCTGCCGCACCGTGCCTCTTCCGCAGTTGCTGTTCCAGGTTGGAAGAAACGGCGTAGAGGTCAATAGGTGACGTGGAAGCGAGGTATGAAGAAATGCACAGGGCGATTAGGTAGAATAGGTGTCTCTTCCGGTTGGGGTCCGAAGGACTCTGCAACTAGCTGGTTGGAGACACTGAGGGATGTAACTTTTTAATAATTTTACTTCGTTTTATTGAATACACAATGATACATTTTTCAGGAAGAGGAGGCGTCCAATCAAAGGATTGCCGTGGTGGAAGTCAGGCGATGGTCGTAGGGTTCGAACACACTTTCCCCGAACTGGTAATTTGGTGACGTTACCACCGGGCCAATTATCGACAGTAGTCTCGTTATTGTTGTCATTTCTCATCGGGTCAGAGTGCTGGAAATGGTATGTATGTACACTTAGATGGTGTACGCTGTGCGTTGACCATATAGGTTCTTTTTCTTTGTCCCCTCCAATCAGGCCCGATCCCTCTCCATCTTGTGTTTTATTACTTGATGGGTGTATATTGTGAGCTTGGCAGCAATCAGTGCAGTTCGCTTCACAGTATCTCGTTGTACGATAATGATTATGTGGGCCAAAAAAATCATGGCGCAATAATCTTTATCAACAGAAAAACGTTCCATAATTTGCATGTGGGTCGAATACTGGCAGGGTGCGCAAGCCAAAGCAGGTGGATTTTCTCTACGAATCCACAATCGGTACCTTTAGCCAACCAAAGCCTGACCCTCAAGACAGCGGGGCGACGTATGAAAACCGCAGTCCATTGTGAACCGGTGTCCAATTCATCGGATCATACGTCCTTTCGACGGGGTCAAACGTCCAATGTACCCAATACTCCTCGATGCCCAATCGAGCCGGTGACCACTACCACAACTGGGAAGGTGTGTGATTTGGGCGCCTCATCATGATTGCTTTTAAATTATACTTTTTTGCCAACTCCCTTTGGTGAACAACCAGTGTTCCACCAACCGGGTTATAACCCCGGATATCGGCTTTTCGTCCTCCAACTTTGGTTGGAAAACACCTCCGCAGTGAGTAGGGCCTCGTCAGCAGAGGCTATTTGAGACGCTTGGTCGTATGGGAGCATTTCGCGAGCTGCAAGGGAAGGATGATCATCCACAACCCTAGACACCCACCCCGACCATAATGAGGCTTTCGGAGGCGCAAGCTGTGGAGGATCATTGGGAATGTTTATAGATTGCTGAAGGTGTTTGAGGATAGCTCTTTAAGTGTGCTTTAGAGCTGAAAATGCTAACGTAATCGGAAGAAATGTTTGTAGAGGATAGACAATTTGGATGCTTTTGGGAGTGGTATGATTTTGCCCGGCCTCCAACAGTCTGGTATAGTAGAAGTGTAAAGTGAATCATTTACAATGGAGGTGATTATTCCAGTTAGAGAGGCAACACCAAATTCAAATTTGAAGTGTACCGTAGGTAAATCATCCGGTCCTGCAGCAGATAATAAAATACAACTATTTTAAATTTTTAACACTTCGCAAATTCAAAATGGTTCTACATTTAAAACATTATGTGAGAAGTAATCACGAAGAATGTCTGACCACTGGCGCAGTAATGCGGCATTGAGGTCAAGATAAACATCCAGTCGTGACTGTACCTTCCTTCTTCCACAGAGAAGCATGATACCTTGCCACTGATGTTTGCTCAGAATTCGATCGGAGAATAACGCCTTTAGTCTCTCTAGTTCAGTTTTGATAAGCCTGTGCAAATGCCTGACAGCTGAAGCATTGTGAGACTTGTATGCAGGTTGCATCGAGAGATCATCATTTCGTTGGATACACACAAATGTTTAACAAAGCATCAGTAATTACAAATGCCCTTAATTGTTTGGGTGAATAGGGACGAGGAAGATGTTTCAAACCATAAAGAAGCCTGTCCGATAAATTTATTGAGAAGAAAAACACTTGTCTGCGAGAAGTCACGAAAACAAAATCAGATGTAGTCAGGTCGATAGAAATATTTTCATGCACAGCGTGAATAAACTTTTAGTCGAACAAAGATTAAACAGTGATCGCTGATGAAAGTTAGTGCTTTCAGTGCTAAAGACAAAAGGGTTGGATGATTGGTGATCACTCAGTTCAGTATAGAGTTACCTCCTGCGTTTGAGTGACCAAGATCTGTCCTATCTATTGATGAAAGAGGTTAAGTACTAATGTGGCTGTAGTCGCCAATGATTGTACGTTAACATCTAAAAGTGGGACCACAAAAGGTATTACGGAGTCAACAAATGACGTACGCTCTGATTGTGTACAGTAAAGTGCTATATACAAGTTAGTGAATATTGTAAGTAAAACGGGAAAATCTTGGGTGACATTTCACGGTGAAACAATAAATGCCTTTTGAGCAGTACTGAGAAATATCACGGAACTTGCCACATCAGGAAACGTTGATATATGTTACAACACCTCGACCAGTCTGCTTTTCTTCGATTCCTCGATCCTGTCGGTAAAATTAAGAGTCGTCTATGGACAGTAGAGTGTCATCTATATCCTTATTCAGTCTGGACTCTTATACACAGACTACAGAAGTGTGGAAGTCCCGTACTTTTTCGTGAATAACAAAGTGACGAAATTTCATCAGTCTGACACTTCACCACTTGTATTCTCTCACCCCCCTCCGTCCTCTTCTCTGTCGTTTGTTCAGGTTATTGGTTTGGTACGATCTAACGTGAACCAAGCACGGGTATTTCCGATAGGAATTGGTTGTGGCGCAAGCACCTATTTGATCAATGGAATCGCTCGAGCTGGTCGTGGTGTCGCCACATTTATTCGTGAGGCGTGAGTTTGTCTCCCTTTTGTTTTGATCCCTCCTCTTGTTAGCTCTGTTCTTATGTTTGGTTGATTGTGTGTACGGGCGCCCGCTACAGATCTATGAGGTGTTTCCATTTTTTCGTAGTGCGCGTAGTATCGCCGGTGTACGATGGGCATATCGCATGAGTAACGATGAAGTTAGACGGCCTGTGTGACGGGCAGATAGCCTCCCGTTACGCAAAGTCTGAGGTGGCTTAGTACCTGGGCAACGTCCGCCCTACCGCGCGTTATTTGCGAGCATTGGACCAAACTTTAAGAAGAAACCACTAGGCGGACGAACTATGTAGTGATATAGAGGCTTGTACAAACTAAGATCAGATGTTACATGTTTAGTATCCCTAAAGTAAAAGGACAAAAAAGTTAACCTTGAGTGCGCGTTTTGTTACCTCACCCGAAACCAGTTACTTTTTGTGTTGTTCCTGTTCTGTTGTTTCAACTCATGGTCATATCAATGCTGTAACTGTAATGATTGGTTTAGTTTACATATGTTCCGTCCCCCAAAACACCCCAATATCATTCACTTCTGTATCTCTCCGCTTTTATCCAATCTTTCGCATTCTTTTGGAGGCTTTTAGTTGTTATTTGATTGATCTGTTGTTTCTTTCCCAATTCTAACAACGTTTACGCTCTTCAGTTCTAAACTCATCTGTAAATTGCATTTGCTCGTATCTTGATTACTATCTCTTGTTCAAAAACAAATTTGTTTTTCTCCCGGCCAACATATGCATATTTATGCATTTGATCTCTGATTGTTGTTCGCAGTCTAATGCGAATTCTAAATGCACGATGGCTGTACAGTTACAAAACAGAAATCGCCTGTTTCGCAAAACAGCTTGTAGCTTTGTGTACCAGTACTCTTTCTCGAACAACCTGCTGTTTCCGGCGGTCGGTTTTTGTTTCTCAAAGCGCTCTACCAGCACACATCAGGTCTTGTTTTTCGGGTTGTTGGCCATTATTTACCGTCGTTTGCCATGCTCAACTAATTTGGCGTCAACATCAAGATCGAAAACTGGGTTGATGCTGAAGCCGAGTCGAGGCAATGCATTTTTCACCCGAGTTCACCGCAGAAAGTGGTATTCGTCAGCGTTACCCTCTCTCTCTCTCTCTCCTGTTCTATTCAACTTTATCATGAATCTGATTTTCGAAACAGCCATATCATCGTGCGACGATAGTGACATCGATTTGCTCACAGTTGGCAAACTGTCTGACCTGTAGTATGCAGACGACATTGTACAGCTAAATGAAGATCTGGCAACGGTGCATGCTTCTTGGTAATGCAGCCCTGCTAGGCATTCGTTTTGCAGCTTTTTGGTGTAAAATGTTGTCGCAGGACTTTGTGGGCCCGCCTCCAACCTCACTCTAATTGGGGAAGTAGTCGAGGAAGTAGACAAATTTTTGTTGTTTGGGCGGTGGTGGCCCGGTGGCAACGTCACTAAATTATCATTCCGGGTGTGTGTTCGAATCC